CCCACCCCCACGTCTCCCGCCCGGCACACCCGTAAGCCCACAGGGACCCTCCGCGCGCCCGTAACCGCGCGCTCACCGCCATCGCAGCGCCGCGCACCTCTCCGCTCCTCCAGAACAAGCAGTTTTCGCGCGAAAAGTGGTTCACGTGACCTGCGTAAACCCGGGAAGCGCAGGAAAGAACATGGCGCCATGACGTAAGCGTCTAGTGTGTCAAGCAGGCGCTGGGGGGCGGGCCAGAAGGGAGGCCCTGCCCATACCGCACGAAAGGCCCCGCCCACACCCCCAGCTCTCCTCCCGGTGCCGGCCGGAGAGCTGTCCCTGGGCTCTGAGTTGCTTAACTGGCAAAGGTGAGGGAGCGGGAGGGGCGGGTGGGGGCTGTTTGGACCAGCCCCACCTGCTGGCTGTCAGACCCTGGGCACGCTACGGCCAGTTTACACGTGAGGCGACTGCACCAGAGCCTTGTTTTCGGAGGTGTTCTCACTGTCTTAGGAGCGGACTTTCCGTTTCAGCTTCTCCAAAAGCTCTCAGGCTGAATACCTCAGGCACCGACACAGCTCCACTATTGCAGGAGGCCGCATCTCATGTTCTGGTAGCTGTCCTCAGCGCCTGGAGCAAAGTTGCAAAGATATTCCATATAGAACGAATGTTATTTGTGAAGATGTAGGGAGCTTGGCCCGCAGGGCAGGGATCTGCAGGCAATTCCTTAGCTCTGGTTGAACAACTTGGGATGCGCAGATAGGGACAAGACTTGAGGTTGGAGCGCCCAGGTGACAAACGCTGCAAGTCTTTCTTGGGAGCTGGAGCTTTATCCTGAGGGCAATGGGGAACCACAGGAGGATTTCGAGCAGAGTGAGATGAGAGCAGTGTGGGATTTAGGAGAATCCTTCAGCTTGCTTCTGCACGGAGGTGGGTCAAACCAGGTTGGAAGTGGTTGCTGCGCCTCTTCCTCCAGTTCCAGGAAGCTCGGATTAGGGCGGGCCCCTTGGTGAACAGGGCAGGCCTGGATCGCAGCCCTCTTGGTGCTGCTGTGCAGTGAAGGAGCTCTGATGGAGCCCAGGGCTGGGGCAGGAGGGGGATGAGGACTAGAATTATCCAAGAGATATTCAGGAGATGGAATCTGCTGGCCTTAGGGGTTGAGGACAACAAAAGGGACGCATCTAGATGACACCAGGATTCTGGCTTAGGAGACTGGGTGGACGATGGGAAACTCAAAAGGAAGACAAGTAAGTTTTGGGGGATAGGGGATGAGTGTATTTCCTGCTGTGTTGAACTTGGGCTCTGAGTGGAGATACCAGATACTGAATTCAATAACAGTTCTGGGGCTTGAGAAAGAGTTTGGGTCACAACTGTAGACTGCCATGAGTGTAGCTAGATAATCCAAAGAGTGAGTGCAGTGAGAAGAGAAGAAAGCCAGGTCTGGGGCCCCAGAAACCCTAACAGTTCAGAGGCACAAAGGACACGGGCAGGAGCTGGGCTTCTGGGAGCTGCTGAGGAGAAGCCAGAGGAGACGGTGGGGCAGATTGTATTAGTTATCTCTTGCCGCATAACAAATTGTCCCATGATCTAGCAGCTTAAAACAATGACTGTGTATTATCCCAGTGTGGGTCTGTGATCTGGGCACAGCTCTGCTGAGTGCCTCTGCCTCAAGGTCTCTCACAGTGCTGCAGACAAGGTGCTTGTGGGGACTGCAGTCTCATTTGAAGGCTTGACCCTGGGGGGATCCTTTTTCCAGGCTCTCTCCCATGGCAGGATTCAGTGCCTCCTAGGCTGTTGAACAAGGACTCGGTTTCACACTGGTGCAGAGGTGGGGGCCTCCTCCACTCCTTGCCACATGGGCCTCTCTATAGGGCCTCTCACTACATGGCAGCTGGCTTTTCCCAGAGCAGGTTTATGAGAGGGTGAGAGAAGCCATACAAGGCAGAAGCCATATCCCTCAAGTGACATCCCATCACTTGTGCCATATTCTGTTTTTTAAAAGCAACTGGCTAGGTGCAGCCCATTGTCATGGGGAGAGAATTGATTATTGCGGGCCATCTCAGAGGCTACTGACTAGATAGGCAAGATGACAGACAGGGTCAGAAGATGACAAGCTGCCAAGAGTCCAAGTTTGGGAGGACCAGAGCCATTGGTGGTGCCCGTGAGAGCTGGTCTGTGCCGAAGGGGTACTGGACACCACAGTGGAATGTGCTCGAGGGCTGACTGCAGGGAGGTGAGAAGGGTAAATGTGGACAGCTCTTTGGAGGAGTTGGCCGTGTGGTTGAGGAAGGGGTTTTGTGAGGGGAGAGGCCCTCTGGGCATACTGATGGGAGGAGGGTAGGAGGAATGCAAAGGTGGACCAGGGTGGAGCAGCCTCTGTTACAGCCCACAGTGGTCTGCCCGCTGGTACTCGCAGCTTGTGTCATCTCCTCCCGCACTGTACCAGAGTTGGTCTGTGTGGCCAACACTGATTGGATGTCACTGCAGAGATGAAGTTATGAAGAGATTGTGGCTTCACTCTCCTTCTCACTCTGAGGGGAGCCAGCTGCCATGTCCTGAGGACACAGGTGGCCCAGTGAACAGCCCCATGGAGAGAGGAACTGAAGACCCCAGCCAACAGCTATGTTGGACTCTCTGGAGCCACGCCACCTTGGGGTTTATTTTTCACACATCAGTAGGCATCAGGCCCTGGACATCATCAAGGACAAGTGTCTTCCTACCTCCTGGTTTCATGTCTTCAGCCTATGGCTGTTGTCCTCAAGGTCTTCTTATAGCTGCTGCTGCTCTGGACATTGCATCTGATCATTAGCTGGCTCATCTCTGGTCAAGCAGAGCCTTTTCGCTTCTTTGTCAGCTGGTCATGAGGGCCCTCCAGTTGGCTGTAGGTGTGAATGAGGGAGAGGTGCTGATGTGACAGTGGTATATGACATGGGTCCACAATTGATCGCTTAGTCTTACAACAGATGGCTGCTGGGCCCACCTGAATTTGCAGCTTAGTGGGCCTGATAGAACCCAACTCATTAGGGCCTGCTCTGGCTTCGTGGTCGCTTGATGTACCCTAGTCATCTCTACCAGGGTCCTGTAGCTTGGGGAGGTGCCTTTTGAATTATATGTGGTTTTCTGGTGTCGTTGCCCTGGCCTTCTAGAACCCTAGGGATCTACATCATGGTTTCAGCTTGCCAGAAACCTTAAACAGCATCTTTTTTACCACATATGCCTCTAATACTACAGGGTCTATTGTCCTGTGGCCCATGGGACAGGCCTTTCTTGCTGTGAGCCTCATTCAAAGCTGGAAGCCTTTGGGATGTATGGGTCAGAGCAGCATTCCTAGGTGTGGAATATGCCACCTCCAGAACCCAAAGAGTGAGTCCCAGCATTGTGCTTCCTTTCCTGTGATGGGGTGTACCACATTTATCCCTGACTGCAGAGGGGTGTCCTGGCATTCCCAGACCACGAGACCCTACCAATTTCACTGAATGCAAGCCCCCAGATTTTCACAGGGTTTATCTCCCACCCGCTAGAGCACAAATGTCTCATCAAGGTCTTCATTTACTTGTTTCCTCTTGTCCGTCCAGCCAGGTTAGCAGGATGTCTCCGGTGCAGTAAAGCAGTGCATTGCTCTGCAGATGTCCAGATGGCCAGAGCCCTTCAGATTTAATATGACAAAGGGTGGGAGGGTGACCACGGGCCTGGGGCAAGACCATAAATGTGAACTGCTGTCCTTCCCTGTGAAAGTCATGGTTCCTGATGGGGATGGCCAGATGGAAGGAAGGCCACGCACTGGACCTGAGGCTGTGTTGATCTGTGCTGGCATGGCTTGCACCACTACTGTTTGGGCTGTTAGTTGGTTGAGTCCGCAGCAGACCTCTCCCATACCCTGTATTGTTTTAAGGTCAGATGGATGGATGAATTAAATAGGAATATGATGGGGTCCAGCTCCACACCCCCTGCCCCACTCAGAGGCTCTAGGCCTTCAACAGAAACACTAATCTCTGCCATTTCCCCCAGTTTGTGATACTGCCTTTTACTCACTTCTTGGCCGAGGTGAGATGGTGGGGGTAAGATTCAGGACTGTCACTTAACCTTCACCTCTCTGAAAACTGTCATCATACAAACCAAGTGTTATTCTACTGACTACAGAGTCTGTCCTTCTCAGTGATCAGTCAGGCTTCGTGGCTGGTACTTTGGCCTAGATGGTTCTGTGATGGCTGGGCCCTCTGTCTCTGACAGCTGAGCACTACCATCTTGTCTCTATTATTTTGGGATCCCCACTGCTGTCAGGAAGCCAGGTTCTGTAACAGCCTCTCCTACTGTCAGCCGTGTCCTCAAGAGAATGACCACTGCCCTTGAGCTTGGTGCCAAGCAAGGAACAGAACCCGGGTGTCAGATCTTTGTGTTTTAAACAACCATTCATTGAAATTCGCTGATGCCACACTCCATCCTGTGCGTAAGGGATACCGCAGTGAATAAGCTGCTGCCTCTGCCCTGAAGGAGAGGGGGTGGAATAGATATGCTGTTATTCCACAAATACAATCTCACAAAAACCCACGTGTGGGGCCCAAAACTCAGAGAAAAAAAACACAGAATCGTGCATTGTGATAGTAATAGCAAACTCCTCCCCACCCCCACCCCAGGAAGTCTGTAGTGTCTCAAAACACATAAAAGTAAAGGTTAGTCATTGCACCACCACCCCCTCAGTTAACTCCATCTCTCCTCCTTCCTGGCACTCGGTAGGAGGGAAGTTTCCTGCCCCCCTAGAGGTTAGAAGTGGCCAAGGACTTGTTTTTGCCAACATGTGGGTAGGGATAATGCCTGAACTTCCTGAAGGAAACTGGGGGCTGACCTTGACTCTGCACAGCCCATTCCTGAAGGGACACATCAGCATGGAGCATAGCCTCTCCTGGCTGATACAGAAGCTGATCATGCCAACCACGGTCCAGGCTGGGAAAGTCCCAGCTAAACCAAGTCCCAAATGGTTACAAGGCAGTGACTTCCTTCCTNTGTCAGGAGGGCGAGGACAGGGGCAGTCAGGAAGGCTTCCTAGAGGAAGCTGAATGCTAGAGGAAGGATTGTTGATGTTAAGAGTTGGAGGAAGGACAGTTCAAACCCCTGCGTCTTGATTTTGACACTTCCTGGCTGTGTGGCTTTAGGCAAGCTGTTTAACGTCTCAGGTGCCTCCCTTGTAAAAGGTGACTGATAATAGCTGGCCTGCAGGGTTGTTGTGCAAAAATTAGTCTCTGCAATCTGGGTGGTGGTCAACGACGCCCGAGCGCTTTGATGGTGGACGTCCAGGCGGCGTAGCAAGCTGGTCAGAACGCGTCGTTCCTGGGAGGGGTGTCTCCTACCCTTCCTTCCTCACCCAGGTGACCAAAGGTCACCCGGCCGGTCAGCGACTGCCGGACGCCGGAGGCGGTGGCGCGCTAGGGGGCCGGTCTGCCGCGGCTCCTCCCCGGACCGTCAGGCCGCGGCCCGGCCCCGGAGAGGAGCGCTGGCCGAAGCGAGCGGGTCCATTGAGAGCTGCTGACAGCTGGCCAGCGAGGGGCCGAAGTCCTCAGCTCTCGGGTCAGCGATCAAGGCGTTTTTCCGGGTGAGAAACGGAGCAGCTATCCTCCCCCAAGTGGCTTTCCCCCAGTGCCTGCGTGCTGTCTCTTTAAGAGGTCAGCGGGCCGCTCCGCCCCTTAGGGATCTGAGTGGCTTCTTCCGTTGTTTGTGCCCTCTTTTAGGTGTCGCTCCACTCCTATAGGCTACTGGAGGCTTGGGGGCGGGCCTGAGCGCTACAAGTAGGGACTGTGGATGTTTTTGTAGTTTTGGCTGAAAGAAAAGGACGCTCCTGCCTTCCGGGTTGCTGCAGCTGGCAAGGGCTGCACGGTGTCCTGGGGGCCGGTGGGCCCTGCGGGCCCGACGAGCTGAACACTCTCGACGACGTCAGCTTGCCCCGATTTCCGTGGAGCCCGCCTCCCTCGGCTCTTGCGCGACGCTCCCCGGCCCCGTTGTCAGCTCCGCGCACGGGAGGCCGGAATCCCGGAGCCCCTGCGCGGTCAGCGCACCCACTACAGCGGATGGGCCGCCCTGGCGGCGGGGCCTGAGAACGGCCTGGGGCCCTCAGGTAAGGAGGTGACCCTCTCCCAATCCTGCCACAGCTGGAGGGGGGTCCTATCCCAGCGCGGTGAAATCCTACAGCGCGTGGGGCGCCTCCTCGCCTCTGCCCGGGCTGGGACCACCGCTCCATAGACGCCTCGTCAACAGCCGCTGTCCCCCGACCCCTTCCGGGAGGGGAGCTCCTGAAGCCCGGGAGCATCTAGTGACCCCCCGTGACAGCTGAGAAAGAGCCCGGCGTCGATGGGGACCCTCACCCCCATCGATTGGATGGGCGACCACCTGTCCCCGCTCCTTCCTCCGGGAGTGACCCCTTCCCGCTCAGGGCACAGCCTCGTAGGACACCCTTGGGGGAGCTTCAGAGGGCAAAGAGGTTCCTGGGTGTAAGGACTAAAGGGAGAGGGGTTGGAACTGGGAGTCCCGCGGGGGAAGGGGGCAGGGGAGGGAGTGCGGACCCTCACAGCTGGACAGAGTCTGGGGTTGTGGCCAGCAAGCAGAGCTGTGGACCCTGTGGCTTGAGCCTGTGCACGGGAAGATCTGGCCTGAGTTATCCCCCCACCGGGCCTGTGTCGCCATCTACAGTGTGATGGGGCCTGCCTGCAGCTTTACGGTGGCCTTCAGCAACCTGAAACGGGCCAGGGAGTGTGTTTTTACCCACGGGGGCCCATGCCGCGCCCAGCACTCTGCTGCTGGATTAGGGGAGGAAGGGTGGGAGTGACTGCCGCCTGGCTCCGCAGCAGGGGCTGTGGGGTCCTGCTCTCACTCCCCACAAGGTCTTGGCTGCGCTCTGCTGGAGATTCATCTGTCTGCCTCTTAGCGTATTGTTGACAACTTATTTTGTGCCGGGCACTGTTCTAGGGGATTGGGTCATGAGCAGGCTGGGGTAGACAGCCGGTGAACCCATAAATAAATACACAGCTAGGGCCACCACTTGAGGCAGAGGCCAAGTGCTATTATTGTAAAGAAGCACAGGGTGTGCTAGCTGTGAGAGATGGTTCAGGAGGGCTTCCCTGAGGAGGTGGTCCGAATGTTGAGGTAATGGTGGGAGAAGAGCAAGCACAAAGTTCTGAGGTGGGAATAAGCATGGCAGCTTGGGGAAAAGGACTGAAGCCAGGGACCGGGGAGTGGCAGACAGCAGAGCAGCAGGCAGGGGTCAGGTCAAGTTGGGCCTTGAAGGCCGAGGGAAGGGGTCCAGGGTTCCCCTTCCTTCTGGGGAAGGAAGCTCCCGCCCAGGCTGCTGCAGTTTACCAGGAGGGGCCTCTCTAGGTAGTATCTACTCCCAGCTCTAAGGCTGTGGGGTAAGGGAGTTGGCCTCTGTCTGTGGAGGTTTCTCACCCTGTTTTGGTTCCAGGTTTAAAAGCTCAACAACCAGCTTGGGTTCGGAAGCAGAGGAACATTATAGAAACTAAGAACCACAGCTTCGTTCTTCTGCTCATGGTTTTCAGTCTTCCTTGGGGTTTCCCATCTAGCAACTCCCAGTCAGGTTCGGTCAATCCCACTGCATAGATGAGAGATGGGAAGCTGAGGCCCAGGAGGAGGGGCCTTGTCCAGGAGCTCACAGCAGACCTGGTACCTCAGGAGCAGAGCTGAGCTGGTGTCCTGCTCCACAGGCCGGCCTCGGGTGGAGGGAGTGTGGGAGGGAGGTGGAGGCCCATGTGGCATGGGAAGATGGCCTCTGGAATGTTAATGCGGTCAGGAGAGTCCCTCCCAAGTGAAAGAAGCAGCCATCCTCATTGCCCTGGTCCTGACAGGTGCAGGGTTGCCCCAGAGAGCTCAGCTCAGTACTCCAGGACCTCCTCCTCTGACAATTCCCTTCCCCACCCGTTGTGTCTGCCCTCAGCTGGCCTTCCCTGGTCCTGTTTCCTGAGCCTGCAGACCCCATGCTCTGCCACTGTCTGGGTTCTTGCCCTCCCCCTCCCACCCTCGGGGGCCAGGAGCTTACCCATGTGGTGGGAGGAGAATGTGGGGCCAGTGCCTTACATTCTGTGCCTCCACACAATGCGCACAATACTAGGTCCCTCTCTCTTAGCGGCTGCCATGATGGTTAAGTGTGCTACCACTTGTAAAACATCCAGCCCTGGGTCTGTACCCAGTGGGCATCGTTTTATTTATTTTTTATTGCTTCAGTTATTTTGATAAGTGTTGACACAGAGTGGCAGCCCTGTTAAGGCTGACAGCCTCATAACTCAAGTGTGGTTCCCTGATCAGCAGAGCAGCGGGCACCACCTCGGAGCCTGTTAGAAATGCAGACTCCTAGCCCTGCCCCAGGCCTGCTGGATCAGAACCTGCATGTCCACAGCCCTCAGGTCTGAGAAGCACAGTCCTAGATGGAGCGTATAGCCCTCCGTGGGAAGGTGGAGAAGCTGAGGCCCTGGGGGGCCACCTGGCAAGTTGCTGCCTCAGGGTCTGGGCACTAGAGGCAGACAACCTGGATTGCAGGCCTGCCTGGCTCTGAGCGCGGTACAGTGGGGACAATGGAAGTACTTCCCCTAGGGCTGGGAGGGCTCAGTGAGTGTTCTTGCCGTGATTATAGAATTAGTAGGGGAATTGGTGGAGGGACAGCAGCTGACATTGTTCCTCACCCCAGACCCTGGAGCAGGTGAACTTTGAAGGGGGCCTTTGGACCTGTGAACCAAATCCTTCCCTCTCCATGTCCCTCAGGGAATAAAAGCAGCAGTTACCTTTGTATGGCCTTTTGTAGGCATTTATTTCTCTGGACTTGTTTGATTTTCTGAGCAGCCGTGTTGGGTAGGTGGTGTCACCATGATACTCATGGTGAGAGAGGAAATGACTTAGCACAGAGCAGAGCCAGAAGTGCAACCCAGGTCTGCCCAAGACCATAACCTGTGTCAGCTGAAAGTCGTACAGTGGTAAATAAGAGGAATCAGACTTAAACTGACCTCAGATGAGAAGGGAATTTGTTGGATTTATAACTAACAAGCTCAGGGGGGTAGGACTGGCTTCAGGTATGGTTGCACCCAGGGGCTCACACGATGATCTATTTCCATCTGTCTCTCAGCTCTGTGTTCCTCTGTGCTGGCTTTGTTTTCAGGTGGGTATCCGTGTGTGTGTCAAAGTGGTACAGCTCTGGCTTACTGCTCTTAGCAGAAAATGTAGCTGTTTCCTAACAAATATGGCAGAAGTCTCAGGGCTGAGTCTCATTGGCCAGGCTTAGATCACAGGCCCATTTCTTAGCTTTGTAAAGGGGTAGTAGTTAGCTCTATCTAAACCTCATGGATAGAGACTGGGGTAGCTGAGGTTACCCCTGAGAAAAATGGGGTACTGGACAGGCAAAACCAAGAGAAGCCCCCCACTGTGGCTTCTCTTATTGCTGGCTCCTGTTCATCCCCACTGGCTCCTCTTTGCCACAAGGGCCTCTCTGTTCCTGCAAGCTGCTGGATGCTGGGCCGGCACCCCTCAGTCCTGCCCTGCCTGGGGCTGCTTGGCCCTCTGTCCCAGGCCAGAGCTGGTATCAGGTTGCTGGGACAGAAGACTGTCCCACAGGGAGTGCTGAGCAGGGTGGCTGCGGAAGCCCTGTCCTTCAACTCTAGTCACTTTCAAGTTAGCATCTCGGGTCACTGGAAGTCTTGAGGGAGGAGGCACACCCCCTGCCCGCTGTGACCTCCCTGTGTCCAGCATGGCCTCATGTGGCTGCAGGTTGGACTCACACCTTCAACGGCCACATAGAGGTGCAAAGAAGGGGGCCTTTCTCCTAGAGGAGACTTCTGCCATGTGACATCACATGCCCTTGCCTGAACCTGCCTCTGGCATGGAGAACATGCCCACCGTTTTTGACTTGGACCAGAGTTTCTCTGCAGGGCGCTCTTGGCAAAGGGGAGGACAAGCATTTGGACTGTCCCGAAGGTTGCAGAATATTTGGCAGCCCTGGACCCTGTCCATGAAAAATCAACAGCCCCCTGCCGCCTGCAGCCCCACTGTCAAACTGGAACACCCCTGTACCCAGCTGAGGGTCCGGGACTGCAGCATGCCTCGCTTCATGTGGCCCCACCCCAAACCACTGGCTTGCATTAATCGAGATTCCACTTCCAGTGCCGGGGAGGGGCCCCGCCTGTTCAGCAGGGCATCATGGAGGGAGTCAGAAACTAAACAGCACCTTGTTAGCAAGGAAGAAGGAGGCAGTGTTTGGTGGGGACTCCGACACAGTGTCAGCCTGGCCTCTGCAAAATACCCGGCGTCTCAGGCCAGAAGCTGTGATATCAGCCTCCCCAGCTCTCTCCCCTCACTCCCGACTGGTGTCTGTGGTCTTACTGGCCGCGCCTCCCAGGGGTGTTCCAGATCCCTCCATCCACCCCAACTGCTACCACTAGTGAGGCCCTGTCCTCTCACCAGGACGGGCACAGCCGCCTCGGTCTCCCTGCCTCCACTCTGCCCCCGCTTCTGTCCATTCTCCACAGCAGCCTGAGTGATTCCCTCTACATGGAAGTGGGGTCCTCGGTCCTGTCACCTGCCTTCAGAACAGCCTTCTGCTTGCACTTGGAGTGAAATCACATTGTGTGTGGTTATGTGGCCCCACCAGCCTCTGGATTGCACCCCAGCCACTCTGGCCTGCTTTTTGCCCTGTGAACAGGCCAAGCCTATTTCTTTCCAATGGTCTTTGCATCCACAGTCCTCCCACTGGTATGCTTTTTGTACAGATTTTCCCAAGGCTGGCTCCTTCTCAGTTATTTAGATCTCAGCTCAGATGTCACCTTGTCTGACAACCCAGTGCAGAGCCGCACCCCTTTATATTCACTGGGCTTCCGGCTTAGCTGTTGAAACAAAGGCCAATGTCCATACTTGGGCCTGGCTCCGCTCAGCATCATGTCTGTGAGGTCCTCACTGCCTGTAGCAGTCTCTTCTCTTTATTTCTGCACTGTTTGAACTGTTTATGGAATGCTGCCATCTGTGTGTGCATTCTGCTGATGGTGGGCACTTGGGCTGCTCCTGGCCTGGCCTGTAATGAATGTGCCTGGAAGTGGAGACAACGGGTCATAATGCCAAGTCTATTCAAGTTGTCATTTGGAATGCTGGCATCTGTTATGTCCTGGTTCCCAGCCACACCTGGCTCGCCTGCCTTGGGTCCCCATAAGCTCCCTGTGTAAGTCCCTGCTGCTCTCAATGTGGACCCAGCTCCTCTGCTGCCATCCCTGAGAGTCCTGTGACCCGGGAGCCTGCCTCAGCAGCCCTGTGTTGCCAATATAGTGGCTCTTTCCCCCAGAGCCAAGGTAAGAAGATAGAAGATTATTCCTGTCTGTTCCATGGCAGTCAGTGTGCAAGCTGTCCAGGACATGCATGGAGGCCCTATCATGTCTGGGACCCAGACACCTTCTTATTGCTGTTATCCTCAATATGTGGCGTCTGTCTTGTGGTCTAATATGGCTGCTGTTGCTCCTACCACCACATCCCATATTGCAAGTGGGACAGGAGAAAGACATGACCTGAAATTGGCAAACCTCACCACTCATGTCCAACTGGATAAAACTCAGTTAAATGGCCACAGACAGTGTGGCAAGGGAAGCTGGGAAAGTACTCATTGTTCTGGGAAGCCACATGCAGGCTAAAATCCACAGGCTCCAGCACAAAAGGGAAGGGGGGACGTTGGGGGGCCCGCAAGTCTCTACTGTGTTCCCCATCATTCTGTACCACTCCTTTTTTCTTAGCACTTACCTCTGGGAGAAGTACAGTTTTTTTGTGTGCTGGTGGTTGGCACCTTGAATGAGGGCTTGTGAAAGTCCTGTGTGCCCAGTGCCTACATTCACCCAGGGTGCACAGAAGGTGCTCAGCCGTGTCTGCTGTGGTGGGAGAATGCAGGAATGAAGGGGGTACTTTGGTTGCTGTTCCATCAGTAGGGAACAGGGAAGGAGCCAGTTTCTTTCTTTGGAACTACTATGTGTCTGGCATGCTCTGTTTAATACTCCCTGTCATTGGCATGCCCACATATGGGGACGTGACCCCAGAGCCAGTCCATGGCCTGTTGGAGGGAAGAATGGAGGGTCCTGAGCCACAGGTCTTGGTCCACCTGCTACAGGATCCCCCATCCCTTTTGACCAGAGGCGGCATCATGTTCCATGGCTTGGACCAGTAGTGATGGTATCCCTGTGTCCCCTCTGCCCATCTGGGGCCTGCTGCTTGGGGGTGGTGCTGGTGAGGGTGCCAGCTCGGGTCCTGCTTGATCTGCAAACCCTTCCTGCCAACTGGCGCTGAGCACCCTGGGCTGCTCCCTGCTGGAGGGGAGGCCTGTACTATAGGCGTTTAAACAGAACACATCTTTTTAATTTTGAAAAGTTTACTGAAGTAAATCCCATACAGAAAAGTGTGCACATCACAGGTATGCAGCTTGATGAACACAGTGAGCTTGTCTGCGTATTTGCATACCCACCACCCAGATCAAGCATCCAGAAGCTGGTGTGCCTCCCCTCCACTCTGCACTTCGTCCTTTGCAAGGGGGCCCCTAACCTGGATCTCCACGGGGGTCAGACCGCGTGTCTGCACTTGGGCCTGGCTCTGCTCAGCATCATGTCTGTGGGGTCCTCACTGCCTGTAGCAGTCTGTTCTTTTTAGTTCTGCCCTGTTTGCACTGTTTATGGAGTGTTGCCATCAATGTGTGTATTCTGCTGATGGTGGGCACTTGGGCCACTCTGGCCTGGGTGGTTATGAATGTACCTGGAAGTGGAGATGCCGGGTCACAAGGCCCAGTCTGTTCAAGTCATTTGTGTGCAGGCATCTATTATGTCCTGGTGCCTGGCCACAACTGGCTCCCCTGCCCTGGGTCCCCCTGAGCTGTCCGTGTGGGCCCAGCTCCTCTGCAGCCACCCCCGAGAGCCCTGTGACCTGGGAGCCCACCTCAGTTGTCCAGGGTGGCTTCCAGGGCCCAGGACACCAGCTGTCCTGTCTTCCGGCTGGATTCCTAATGTCTCATTCCCAGTTCCTCCCTCTGCCTCCTATTCCCTCTCCGGGATCTGCGTGGAGGCCTCCTGCGCGTCTTCCTTGGTGCAGTGTTCCCTCCGTTTGCATCTTGCCTTTCCAGGGTGGAGCAGAGGAAGGCAAGGTGTTGTGGTCCACCTGAGGTGTGGCCCTGGGAAGCCGTGTGACCGCACACAGGTCACTCGGCTACCCCGGCGGTTCTGCGTCCCTGTGGAGGGTGGCACTGCGACTTGCAGTCACTGAGGACCGCACACGTCAGGCTGCAGGAGACACTCCATCCACATCGCTTAATTATTGTTCGCCACAACCTCACAGGGTGGATGCTGTCATTGTGCCCACTTCAGAAGTAGGGGAAACTAAGGCCCAGGCGAAAAGGAAGTAGGAATAGGCTGGGACGTGAATGCTGACTCCTAGCTCCTCTGCTTCCTTCTCCCTTGACCCTGGGTTTGGAGGGACTCGCTGGGGTGACAGCAAGTGGCATGCATTGCTGGGCCCAGCACACAGATGGGCTCCGTCACTGGGGTGGCTTTTATTGCCTGGGACTTAAGGGACAGAGCCTGACATGAAGGGCTGGGCCCCTGTTGGGGCTTGGCTTGTGGCAGGCATGGGCGGGTGGGGGAGCGGTCCGCAGGCCCACCGTAGGCAGCCCCTCGTGTATCCCACGGGGAGCCTGAGACCCAGCGGCCCCAGGCACACAGCCCCTGCACTGCTAACATGGCGCCTCTCACTCCCTCAGGGCCGGCTGCTAGCGGGATGGACACTCTGGGGGAGGTTATTGGCCTGAACGGGAGCACAGTGCTGCCCCCGCCCCTGGCACCCAACCTCAGTGTGCCACATCGCTGTCTGCTGCTGCTCTATGAGGACATTGGCGCCTCTAGGTGAGGCAGGGACAGCCCCACAGAACAGGCAGGCTGTGTGGGGGGGTGTGGGGTGGGGGTGGGTGGGGCATGGGTGCACAGCCTCACCAGTGAGCCAGCCTCTGCTTCTATCTGCTAGGGTCCGGTACTGGGACCTCCTGCTGCTCATCCCCAATGTGCTGTTCTTCATCTTCCTGCTCTGGAAGCTTCCGTTTGCTCGGGCCAAGATCCGTGTCACCTCCAGCCCCATTTTTATCACCTTCTATATCCTGGTGAGTTTCACTCCAGTTGGTGACAGAAAACCCAACTCCAACTGGCTTAAGCAGAAAAGAGCATTATTAACTGCTTCTGTACTGGCCAGCTTCAGGTATGGCTGCATCCAGGGCATTGACGGATGTCAGCAGGACTTGGTCTTTGTCTGCATCCCTGCTCTTCTCTGAGCTTTATGTTAGATGAGTTGTCCGCTAGGGCATCATGGACAGCCAAGAGCAGCTTCGGGCGAGCTGACATCCTGCCTCCCTGCCAACCCCAGCACAGTACCTCTTTCCTGATGGTGCCAGCATAGACCTGGAATTGCCTCCGATTGGCCCATCTTGGGTCCCATGTTCGTCCCTGTAACAATCAGGGGAAGAGGCTCTTTGGAGGGTGAGGTTGGCCAGGTAATATGGACTGAGGAGGGTCATAGTCCTTGGAAGAAAACTGGGGAACCAGTACTATGGGGAAGGGGAATAGATGCTGGGAGGGAAAAAATCCTCACTGCAGCTTCCATCCATCCATCCATCCATCCATCCATCCATCTGTCCATATGTCCACACACCCACACATTCTACAAGATCTCTTTGGAGCAGACTTACCACCTGTCAGGAGAGCCTGAATTTTCATCACTCAGTGGTCCTGTGCATGTTGTCTGGGAGAAGTAGCAGGGCTGTGGGTGAGAAGACGGCCCCAGGTGCGGCCCCAGGTGCGGGGTGACCAGCTCCTTTCCTTCAGGACTCGGGCCTTACTGACCGGAGTCCCCCTGTGGTGACTCTTACTTACCACTACTGAGAGCTGGGTGGCTCCCTGGTCCTCCTCTCTGGCCTGGCTTAGAACATTCCAATCGTAGGAGTGGGTAGTGGGCAGGCCAAGAGGCAGAGGAGGCTGTGGAGAACCTGGGGGGACACTGGTTGAGGCCCCAGGGACCCCTGCTGGAGCCCCTTCCCCTGTGAGGTGGCAGTGGGCAGGGTGGGGATCGAGGCCTGCTTTCCTCTCTGCTCTCTCCCGCTGCCTCTCTGACCATTTACTCATTTGGGTATTTACTCAACAGATATGAGGCACCCATTGCTTGTCAGGCAGATGTGTTTCCTCAGGCAGTGGGTGGGGAGGAAGGACCTGGGGCCAGTACCCAGGAACAGGGGGTAGGGCCAGGGAGTCAGCACTGCTCGGTAAGAGTGCACTTGGGCAGCTTGCCTTCCAAAAAGCCCACTGTGCAGAATGACCTTGGACCAGCGGCTTGGCCCTCTGGGCCTCAGTGCCTCCTCCGAGATGCATGCTGGCCACTGAGTTGAGCACTGAGTACCACGGTGGGCCCAGCTCCAGCCCAGGGGTGCTTGGCCTGCGGTAGGCACACCACAGTCTGTGGCTTCTGCCTCTGGCCCTGCTGGGTGGCGTCTGCTTCCAGTGGTTGGACACGGTTTTCATGGCACAAAAGATGGAGTGTGTGTGAGTTTGGGCTCTCTTGTTTGTTTGTGTCAGTGAACCCAACCTAAACTCACAGAAGCTGGAGACAAGGTAATTGGTGGGAAGCTGACAGGTCCTAGGGCTTCAGGCATGGCTGGTTCAGGGGCCCAGTAATGCTGCTGGGGCACCATTTCTGCCTCCCTCTCGGCTTGGCTCCCTGTGATGGCCCTGTGTCTAGCAGCCTCTGCTCTCATGCTGGCTGGTGGCCCCAGCAGCTCCAGGCTTGCATCCCCTGAGCTTCCTTTCCCCAGGGCTGAACCTCATGTCCTGGGTGTGACTCTCACTGGACTTCCTTGCCCCCCGCCCCCAGCCCCAAACCAGGGGAATGGCATATGCTGAATGGCCAGCCCTGGGTCGCCAACCAGTCCCTGAAGCCAGGAGTGGTGGGTCAGCCCAAACCATGTGAAGGAGGAGAGGGCAGGGTAGAGGAAGGAGGCTCTAGCCAGAGGAAGGGGTCGATACTGGGCTGATAAAACCGCAGATGCCGAGCACAGGCAGTTCTCTACAAGCTCTGGTGCAGCAGCCTTCCCCAGGGTCACTGACGCCTCTTCCCTACAGTCTCCTTGCACCTAGCACCCATGTCTCAGAAGGAAATTCCTTAATACGGCAGTACTAGCAGCAAACGTGTACCTAGCCCTTATGTGTGCCAGGCACGCTTCTGCTACGTACCATTCTCCATTTGGTCCTCCCGACGGTCAAATGCAGCAGGCGCTGTTTTTACCCCATTTCACAGATGAGGAAACTGAGGCATGGAAGTACAGTTCCTTCCCTGAGTTCACAGAGGCAGAAAGTGGCAGAGCTGGCATTTGGACCTAGGCAGCCTGGCTCCACTATGTCACCCCTACTAAGTGTTCCAAGGTTGTTGGTGTAGCCAGGAAACTGATGCCTGAGAGGGGAGGGCCAGGCCTGAGGTCCCCCCACTCACCTGCATCCCACCCCTGACTTGTTCAGTTTGGAATCCTTCCCTTCTGAGGAATCAGGCTCCTGTAGTTGTGGGGAATGGGCTTGCAGTCCCCCGATTCCCAGAGGTCTGGGCCCCGATTCCACCACCCCACCCCCTCTCCCACCAGGTGTTCGTGGTGGCACTGGTGGGCATCGCCCGGGCCGTGGTGTCCATGACTGTCAGCACCTCGGATGCTGCAACTGTCGCAGATAAGGTGTGGCTGGGCCTGCCGACAAGGGGGCTGCTGAGCCCTGGGGAGAGGGGTGACTGGCCCCTGGCTGACACTCTGCCCCCTCTGTGTCCAGATCCTGTGGGAGATTACCCGCTTCTTCCTGCTGGCCATTGAACTGAGTGTGGTCATTCTTGGCCTTGCCTTCGGTGCGTGTGCGGCCTGGGCCGATGCTCTCCCTGCCCCTCCCTGGCGGACACCTGGCTGGCTTCTGCTGGCTGACCAGCATGTTTCTTCCAGGTCACCTGGAGAGCAAGTCAAGCATCAGGAGGGTGCTGGCCATCACCACCGTGCTGTCCCTGGCCTACTCTGTCACCCAGGCAAGGGTGGGCTGGGACAGCCCAGGGGCCCCCTGAAGGGGCCGGGGATCAGTGAGGGCTGGGCACCCACTGCTTCTGGTCCTGGGTCAGGCTGTGAAATTTAGCAGGTGTAGTGTTCTCAAACTTTAAATGCACCTAAGGGATCACCTGGGGTGCTTGCTAACCAGGCAGGTCATGCCCCCAACCCATCCCAATCTTGTAGGTCAGGGTGGGGGCAGGGAGATGCCCAGAACCTGCCAGTTTAACAGGCAGCCCAGGTAGGGACAATGCAGGTCTGCAGACCTCCCTGAGAGCTGTGCATTCAGAGACCCCTTTCTTAGGTTGGGCAGGGGCTGCCCCTTGCCCAGCTCTACCCCCTGCCAGGCCTGTTCTGGATGTTGGAGCAGGGAACTCAGGACCAGGCTGGGGAGCTGCGTGGATGGGGTGGACAGCTTTGGGGACTGTATGCCAGGGGGAAAGCTCCCAGGAAGAGGGCTTTCCAGGAGACAGGAGCCTGTGAAACCCTCCCCTGCCTGTCCCTACAGGGGACACTGGAGATCCTGTACCCTGATGCCCACCTCTCCGCTGAGGACTTCAACATTTATGGGCACGGGGGCCGCCAGTTCTGGCTGGTCAGCTCCTGCTTTTTCTTCCTGGTGAGGTGGCGGGTGTCCCCCCACTGCCTTGGGGGAGGCTGGGTGAGCCTCTGGGCTGGAGGCAGGGGCCCGGATGCCTTGGTTTGGGGCTTGCCTCAGCCTGGTGCTCCCCAGCATCCTTCTCAGGCCCTCTGTGCCCCTGCAGGTCTACTCTCTGGTGGTCGTGCTCCCCAAGACCCCACTGAAGGAGCGCATCTCCCTGCCCTGTGAGCAGCTGGTGCCAGGCGAGGGGTGGGACTGGGCCCAGGGCAGGGGTCTGTTTGGGCCACTGTGGCCTAGAGCTGGAGAGCCCTGGCGAGAGGGAGGGTGGCCTCCCGGGGGACCCAGAGGGGTTCCAGGTGATATACTGGGCAGGAAGGGTGGAGGCCAGGGCAGGATTTCACGCCCCCTCACCCCCCAGCGCGGAGGAGCTTTTACGTGTACGCAGGCATCCTGGCGCTGCTCAACCTGCTTCAGGGGCTGGGAAGCGCGCTGCTCTGTGCAGACATCATCGAGGGCCTCTGGTACGCGGGGCAAGGCCGGGCTGGGGGCGACAGGGAGCAGGCTAGCCCCCCTTGGCATGAGGCCTCACCCCAACCTGCCCCTCCCGACCCCTCCAGCTGTGTAGATGCCACCACGTTCCTCTACTTCAGCTTCTTTGCGCCACTCATCTACGTGACCTTCCTCCGGGGCTTCTTCGGGTGAGTCCTTCCGCGGAGGGAGTGCGGGTTGGCGGGTGGGGGTCGCAGCCGGTTCTGGGGTCTCGCCGCCCACTGCCCTGCAGTTTAAAGGTTGCGGGCGCCCCCGCGTGGCTGCCGATGGAACTACGCCCTCAGCTTCTGCGCTTGCGCATAAACATGCTGTGGCGTCCTGAGCCTCCCTGCTTCCTCCGTGCAGGGATGGCACGGGACAACCGTGGTGGATGGGGTGTACGTGTCTACATATACAGCCGTGCATATGTATACATGTAGATATACACACGCGCACGTGTATGCACACACGTCCATGTATACACCTAGAAACATACACATATATATATATTTTATATGCAACAGACATACTTTCCCCACCAGAGATAGTAGCTATGCACACTGTTCTACACGTGCTGTTTTTCATTTAAGGATGGATTAGCTCATTCCTTAAGTGACCATTCATTGAGCACCTGTGTGCCGGGCACCACTGTAGCCATCAGACACGACAGGAACAAAGTAGACCCCAAACCCCCAGGCTCCTGCCGCATGTATTACCAGGAGAGGAACAGGGTTGGGGGAGTCCCGTGAGTATTTGGGCATGGGGCGGGGTGCACTTGTATGCATGTGTGTTTGCAGGCATGTCAGGAAGATGCGATGTTAAGGACATGTGGGGATTGAGGCTTGGACCCCTGGCCTGTAATGTGGTGGAAGGGCTGGCGTTTGCCCCCACCCCAAGCTTCAGGGTCTTTTTTGTACACTGGGTGCTATGCTTCCCCTTCAGGGCTATCCTGAAGACTGAGGGACTGGGCAGGCACACAGCGGGTAGTAACAGCTGCTGGGTGGAGGTCACCGCCCCGTTTGCTGAGCATTCTGCGCCCCGCCCCGGCTGAGGCTACCGACTTATCCTATTCATCCTTGGCAAGGAGCCCCCTGAAGTTGATAGTTGCACCCATATTGGAGTGAGAAGGCAGGTGCAGAAGCACGTGCCCAAGCCCACACAGCCAGGAGTGCTGAGTTTAAAACAAGTCCTTGTGGCCTAGAGTCCAAGTGACAGGGCCTCCGGGTCAGCATTAGCAGCCATTAGCCCCTTTCCTCCCAGTCTGCCAGCCGTACTGCCCAGAGAGGGAGGGCCTTTCCTGACTCCTGTGGTGGGGCTCCCCTGCCCCTCTGTCCTCCCCACCAGCTCGGAGCCCAAGATCCTGTTCTCCTACAAATGCCAAGTGGACGAGACCGAGGAGCCGGACATGCACCTGCCCCAGCCCTACGCCGTGGCCCGGCGCGAGGGCCTGGAGGCGGCTGGGGCTGCCAGCACACAGTTCGACGTGGCCGGCGGGGTGGCCTACCTGGATGACGTGGCCTCCATGCCCTGCCACACGGGCAGCATCAACAGCACAGACAGCGAGCGCTGGAAGGCGATCAATACCTGAGTGCTGAGACCCAAGAGGAGGCCAGGGAGCAGAGAGTCCACGGGGAGAAGGGCGAGGCCATTGCAGCAGCCTTGTGCAGGCCCCGTCCTGCCCTCCCGGCCTCATGTTGCCCTCAGCCACCTCTGCTCTAGCTGGGGGCTACCTCCCGTCTCTACCTGCCATCTCCCTGCTCAGGGACATGGCCAAGACTTTGATCAGGACTGGTCTGGCCCTCCCCACCCCTCTGCCCACTCCCCATGGCACTGTGGCTGCCACAAAGTCTGCTCTGGTGGGTGGGTTGAAGTGTGTATATTTTCTTGATCTATTTTTTAATAAAAAGGAAAATGAGAGGAATGTGACTCTATGGGGTTCTGTAGGAACTCTGTGGCCAGCTCTGTTCAGGAGCCCGAAGGCTATTCTGAGGTCCCTGTGCATCCCTCTGTGTCCTGGGCCTGGGAGAGCTTTAACCTGTTTAACCAAGGCCATTGGCTGGTGCCCAGGCCCTGGGCTGGCTGCCTGGAGGTAGAGAGTCGACCCCAGCCTCCCAGCCAGGGGCCTGTTTGAGTAGGGGAGACACACGTGGAAAGAGAACTGTGTCCCTGTGCGCCATTGCCCCTCCACCCCGGTGCAGGGCGTGGGTTTGGAGTGAGCCCTGTGGGTTCCGTCCTCTCTGCTCCCTTCACTCTGTCTTCCTAGGCAGCCACAGCTCTGGTTTTGGCCTCTGTAAAATGGGGATAAGGACGCCTGCCTCGCAAGGATATTTATAAGGATTAAGAGGTAGTAAGAGTGAATGGCTGGCATAGCGTCAGGGAACAGTAATAACGAATTATTTTTAGCCACTAGGATAGTGTGTGGCACATAGTAGGCACTCAGAAATAGGGTGGTAGGGAATGACAGTTATAATCAGGATGGGTGTGATGGGCTGGGTATGGGGATAAGTCAGCATAAAGCACTGGGGTGGTAAGACAGTAAGGGGAGAGGGGCTGCCTGTGTCCACATGTGCCTAAGTCTGGCCTTGAATCTGGGCAGCCAGAGGAAAAGGGAGTTTCCAGTTATGTAACTCCCACTGCCAGAGAGAGGAGGTCCAGTGGGGCCATGGGGATGCTGAGGGTCCAGCCTGGCTCCTGTCTCCTCTGCCAGCTGTCCTTTCTCATGAGGCTTGTGCATGTCGGGCTGACGTGCCAGGCTCCCTGGGATCCAGGGCACAGAGGGCTCTGGTGGGTGTGGGTCCCAGCAAGTGCAAAGGCATGGCCAGTGAGCTGGACTCCTGGCCCCATGGGACCACTGGGGGCTCCTGGCAGGCTTCTCCCAAGCTGCAGGTTTCGCTGCAACCTCTCAGACCTCGCAGTTTTGTAGATGCCCGTTAGGCAGGGAGGGAAGCCTGCAGGGCAAGTGCTGGGGGCCAGAGCCAGCAGCAGCCTCTGACGTGTGCGCCGTCTGCAGCCTGGGTTTGCCCCGTACAAATTACTGAGCAAACACCTGGGTCGCCAGGGAGGCATCAACAGAAGAAAAGAGGCTAGAGCCCACTGGTTCTGATTTAAGTTTGTTTTTTTAAATAGATAATATATGTACATGGCAAAAAAAAATTCATTCAGTGCAAGGACGTATACAGTGGAATGGAAGGTGACTCCCTCTTACCTTGACATTCAGTTTCCCTGCCTCCCCCACTTCCCAGAAGTACCACCAAGGCCAGGGGCTTCGTGACCTTCCAGAAGTGCCTGTGTGTGTTCATGTGTGTACATCTATTAGCCGCTGATTTGGGAATGTACATAACCTGGACGTTTTCTCCACTTGGCAATTGATCATGGGATCATGGGTGGTGGGAGAGCTGCTTCCCTCTCAGCTGTGTACTTCATGCATATGTGGCAGTTAATTTAACCAGCTCCCTCAGGATAGACTTGATTCTACTGTATTTTGCAATAACAAAGCCATGACAAAAACCCTTGTAAATATGTTTTTGGTGACTCATGCAAGTGGACTTGCGGGAGCACACCATCTTCATTGGTTTTAATTGGTCTTACATCTTCTGGCAGAGTTGAATAGCTGTCCTCCAATACGTGTTCTCCTTTTCTTCCATTGTAATGGAATCCCAGATTGTTCACTGGATACACAACTGCCTGGAATGAGACTCCATTTTCCAGCCTTCCTTGCAGGTGGCTGTGGCCATGTATCCAAGTTCTGGCCAATGGGATGTAAGTGTGCATACAAACTCCTTCATGAGAGGCTAGGCTCCATTTTTTCAGCTAACTGGGATGTGGTTGCAGTGGCTGGAGCAGAAGCAGCCATCTTGAGCCACAGTCATCTTGGGGAATGGAAGTCTCATGGAAGTGCAGCAAGATAGAAGGAGCCTATGCCCTGATACAGTGGTACATTCATAATAGCCTTGGGCTTTCTACCTTCAAACAACTTCTTGGATGTAACAGAGAAATACATGTCTCCTTTGCTTAAGCCATTTTGAATTTTTCTTTTACAGCTGAAACTAGTCTGAAAGAACAGAGCCTTCAAAGAAGCTGTACTAGTTTTCACTCCTACTCACTGACCCTGGGTGCCTTTGTAATTTTCAGTCTTCCTGTAAAGCCCTGCTCATGTTGGATCTGCTAGGACCACAGCCCATGTGCTATGTCTGGGTGCAAACAGGCATTAAAAGGAGTGGCCAGGATGTGGGGGATTCTGGGAGCCTTGATGTGATGATGGAGTTCACCACGTGTAGCCAAATTTCAGTATTACCTCCCTCCTCCCTGCTGCTGCTGCTCAAGGACTTCGAGTGAATCCATGGACTTGTGGGCAAACACATCTTCTCTCTGACCCTCTGTTTCCTCATCAGTGACATGGGTTGCAGAGGACTGGTAGCCACCTGATACCCATTTTTATCCAACTGCACCCTGATTTTTTGGGGGTCTGTGAAGCACCCAGGGAAAAGGTAACATTCCCTAACCCTTTGCTGTCACTCATGTGACTAAGTTTGGATCAATGGGATGTTAGTAGAAGAGGGACTTTTGTTTTTTAAGCACCAATTGCTTAAAGGGAGCTGATTCAGCAAGGAGATGGACTCTTTTCTCCTCCTACCTTTCTCCTTCCTACTTCTGGAATGCAGATGTGAAGGCTGACTCTCCAGAAGCTGTACTGGATGATGAGGTGACTTTGGGAAGCTACTTATCAAGGATGGTCAAGTAAAAAGACAAAATATGGCATTGCCATACCAGCAGTGAGCTGCTTCCAATAGACTTCTTTTACACAAGAGAAAGAACCTATCTTATTTACAGCAAACCCAATCCTAACAGAAACACATGGAGATCATAAAATTCTCTCCAAGGGGTCACTTGAGGGAGATGGATAATGTTTCAAGGTAATACTAATTTGTGTCTGTTCCTTTCTGAACGTCAGCCACCTTCTCACTCCTGTGTCGGTGGGAGTTTGGCCCTGGGGTCCAGGGAAGCCTGCTGCTCATAGGTATCTTCCTGGCTTTTGTTTCCAAATTCTTTGGGTAGCAGAGGGCAGCAGGGGTGTGTGGAAAAGAAGAGGTAGGAATCCCCTTGGGAGAGAGCTCTGTGTGCCCCTGAGGACCCAAGTTCAGGTGAGGACCCTGGAGTTAGGATCCTCAGCTGCTGCAGGTGTCTCCCAGCCTGTGTGGTACCGATGCAGCAGAGTTCAGAGACCTATGGGTCCCTGTGGCCAGGAGCACTGGGGGGCTCAGTGTGAACAGGTGTGAACACATGACTAATGGGTGTATTAGTCTGCTCAGGCTGTCATAGCAAAGTGCTACATACTGGGGGGACTTAAACAACAGAAATTGATGTTTTCACAGTTCTGGAGGCTGGAAGTCCAAGATCAAGGTACCTGCAGGGTTGGTTTCTCCTGAGGCCCCTCCTGCCCCTCCTTGGCTTGCATGCTGTGTCCTCACATGGCCTTCCCTCTGTGCATGTGCATCTCTGGTGTCACTGTGTGCCCAAATCTCCTCTTCTTCTAAGGACACCAGTCAGATGGATTAGGGCTTACCCAAATGGCCTTATTTTAACTTAAGCACTTCCTCAAGGACCTATCTCCAAATACAGTCTGAGGTACTGGGAGTTAGGGCTTCAACATGTGAGTTTTGGGGGGATACAATTCATCCTATGGCACTGAATGGCACTAAAGCTTCTCTCCCCCACATCCTGACACTGTGCAAGATCCTGGGGCCTTGACCGGATCTATGGGCCAGGCAGAAACCCCCCAGGAGTGACTGAGGTTAAATCTTCTGCCCACTCAGAAGAGTAGGGTCAAGTCAGAAATTAAGCAGCATTCTAGAAAATCACTTGTCTGGTTGTGGACTGGGATTCACAGCACCTGTGTAAGGGGGTTCCCTGAAGGATCACCCACATTTTCTGCTTCTCCTCCTTCTGGACACACACATAGGATTATTGTACTTCCCTGCCCTTTAGGGAGAGGGGTAAAGCTATGGGTCTTACTTTGGCCAGTGAAATGTGCACAGAGTGAACTGCCAGTACATTACTCTGTCCTGCTGCAGAAATGTGGGAGCTCATATCCAGATACAGCCTCCGTCAGCGTGGGTTCCTGGGACACCTCCATGAGAAGAGTTCCTCAGCTAAGCTGCACTGAACATGGAGCAGACCCAGAAGGAAACCTTGTCCTGGAAGATTTGGGGCTGTTACTGCAGCATATCCTAGCATATTCTAACTGATACACGATTAAAGAATGTAGACCACTTGGTACATAGCAGTGCTCAGTTAATTTGATTTTGAAAAAATAGGGTGAGCAGGGTCTGGATAGGGGACAACTAATAGCTCTGGGGTTCATGGGGTCATCCCCTTATCCTGAGTCCCATGGGCCTTATTTTCAAATCTGGTGGATCTTTCTGTTGGCGTCACACAGAAGTTGGCCCCTGCTGTGTCTGGCTTCCCTTCCTTAGAGATGCCTGGGCCGGGCCCTGAACCCCAGTGCCCCAGGCTTTCCTCCAGCAGCCTTCCCTCTGCCTTGGGGATGGGACCTGTGTGTTCTTCAGGAGGAGCAGATGCATCGTGGTGGCACAGGCTCGTTTTTGGAGATGGTGCCTGTGGTGTTGAGGAAACACTGAATCCAGGCTACTGTTTATTAGTGTGTCCCCGGTACCTGTGCTGGAGGTGCTACCATTCATCTTCGAGAATGCCAGCAGAGGAAGTGTCATCTCCTCCCCTGGCAAGGAGTCACTGCTGTGCCCAAGAGGGGCAAACCCACTTCCCTCTTAATGAGCATGGAGCAGCCACCCAGCTTCCTGGGCCCGCCTCCAGTGATGCTCAGGTGGCCTGCATCTGCTGCCTGGATGTCCAGCGCCCCGTCACCGAGCCCGTCAGAGGAGGACTCCTCTTCCTGCTTTTCCC